TTATAAAGTAATTAATTTATTCTTTTGTTTTTAGTTTTTGTTAATTATTATTTATAAATATTTTATTTGAAATATTAAATAGAAATTATTAATGGAATAATTTATATTAATATACTGTATTATATTAATATAATATACTAATATATTATATTATTAATGTACATTAGTCGACATCATGTCGACATAATAGGAAAAACTAGGAAAATCTGTCTTTTCTTTTGTTATTTGGACCAATTTGGTCGACATTTCTGAAATATAAGGAAATGTTGACCGAAATAATGTAATTTTTATATTACCATCCATTTTCATGTCGGTGAGCCTCGACATTGATACATGTCGGGCGACATTAGCAAAATTTCGCGACATTTGAAACCTTGATGGAGGGTAATTGATCACTCTGTTGATTGGAACGTCTTGCTTCCTCTTCATTTGTTAAATCGTGGTTTGCCCAGGTAGATGGTGGGTCATGTAAATAGTAATAATTAATGGTATGGCCTTCTAGTCTGCAATAAGTGCACGTTCGAGAACCATGTCCTCCCTCTGGCTCTCAACCCCCAACACCACTTCGACGACTAGTGGTTCTGATCCTTTTTGTCATTTCTTCTAGATCGATAACCAGCATTCCTTCTACAACAGCCTTCCCCCTGTGTTGTAGCTAAAGCATATCTATTAGAGTTGGTAACCATCTTCATAGGTCCCATGATCCTGTGAAGATGAGCAAACACATATTCTAGAGAGGGGAGATTTAAGTTGCCAAAAACCTGTGCACGATAGATTCATATTCTAGCCTCAATTCTGAGAGAAACTGTGCCATATTAAGTTCTCTTTGCTGTTGTTGAATTCTAATGTCAAGGGTCAATGGCTGATACACGTTAAGATCATCACAGAGATTCCTCATGCTAGCATAGTACTCCTTAGTATTCTGTTGCCTTGTAGTATGGTAAAGTCCAGAAAATAAAAGAAGAAAGAGAAGAACCAATAGGGGAGATCACAGCCTTGTTTAGAACAAATTGCAGAAACTTATAGATGCTCTGATATCATGATATCATGCACAGAAAGGAAGAAAGTAACAGGAGAAACAAGAAAAAGAAGTGAAGTGGAAGAAAATCTGAAACCAATTGGGAGAAGTGTCCCTCCTGTTCCTGCTCTTATTCCTGTTAGATAGATAGATTGCCAAGGATTTTGTTATTACTATTATGCCCCTGATTAAGTATGGGCTCCAGCTAAAGGTAGGACAAAATAGACTAATTAATGTGATATAAAACATAATGAAAAGGACAAAATCCCCCTGTTAAGTTGACGGCTAACAAGCATGGGTCCTGCATTGTCATTTTGAGCTTGTGCTGGAGCCTTCTATGGAAATGGAATTGCTGCATCTTATCATGTGTGGTGACTGGTCAGAAAATGGTGAAACAGGATTCATGTTGAGTTTCATATCTATTTTGAAGGTTAAGCTGTAGGGATAAAAGTCCAATACCCAATATGAGTAATTTAAGAAATGCTCAACCTGAGCCTGCCTAAGTTGCAGTTAGACTCAACTTTAGATGATACCCCCATCCACCTATTTATTGCAACAATAGGAAGAGAACTGATAGGGATTATTTGGTTTACATTTTTTTTTTCATTGACTCTTGATTCATTGTTTGTGCTCCCAAATAGCAATTCTGAAATTGTATCAAGTCATCATGTTATTCTTGTTTTATTATTTGGAAGCTAAATGTTTTTCTTGCTCCAAGGTTACTCGGAATTGCCACGGTCCAATGGTTTCCTTATAATTGAAGCAAATGGTGGTCTGAATCAGCAACGACTGTCGGTGGGTCCTCTCATAATTATAAAATTGGCATCATAGCTTTTGATTGTGTGTAAGAGATAGCTTTATCTGTTTCTGTTTTTTGTTTATTGCAAATTTACTGTGGTTTATTTTATTTTTTTCCAATTTTGTGTTCTATTCTTAACTCTTTCACTTGCATTAATACTAACTTTAGCAAAATATGTGAGGACATGCTAAATTTTTTCCACATTGATTGAGTTTGTAAGGTCTCAAGTATCAGCTTGTTCCCATTTGAACAAGGGTATGTGAGGCAGCTCATTATCACTTGGAGAACTGCTTTGATTCTTTTTAATACATGGGCACTTGCTAGAAAGATTTATCTTTCAAGATTCCACCTTATTGCCCTTGGCTTTTATGCTTCAACTTCAATTTGCTGATGAATTTTGTCTTTGATCTACACAGATTTGCGATGCAGTGGCAGTGGCAGGATTACTAAATGCTACGCTTGTCATTCCAATGTTCCACTTAAATAGTGTTTGGCGGGATTCCAGGTGAATCATTATCATTATCATTATCATTGATAGATAGTGGTAAAGTATTGTATTCATAATCAAAGAAAAGGGGAGGGATCTCCAAGTATGCAAGTTTTATATGTATGCACTCCTATACATCAAAAGAAGAGAAAGATTAAGGGTCTGTTTGGTTCACAATAGGAATCGGAATCGAAATCCTTTGGAATTGGAATCGGAGTGATCCATTCCCATTGTCTGTTTGGTTCAGACGGGAATGGGAATGGAAATGGGAGTCAACCGGAATGGGGTTTCATTCCCAAGGGAAGGGCAGGGAATGGCCATTCTCTCAAATGGGGGAATGCCATTCCAGCAGGAATGGGAATGGGATTCTGATTCCGCCCAACCAAACAGTTGGAATCGGAATAGCCCATTCTGATTCCGATTCCAGACCCCTATTCTCACGAACCAAACAGGGCCTAAATCTTCCTATGATTCATAAAATGTTTGTATAATATTGTGCTGTAATTCCATTGTGATTCTTTAGGGAGTCATGGAGCTTAGTTGTTATCCTGCTGATGGAGGGAATCTCTTCCTCCTTTCCTTTTGATTTTAATGTGGGTTGGGGATTCCCCTCTGAAAGATCAATTTCCTTCCTTGTTTGCTCTCTCCAATTACAAGTCCAACTTTATCATTCATTCATCCTAATAAAATATCTTCTTATAAGGCAATTGAAATTGTAAAATCATTTTTTCTGAAGGATAAAAGAAAAATTTATTAAAAAAGAGATTACATGTGAAAGGTGACAAGAAATCACCCGAGAGGAAAACAGACACTAACAAACATACACCCAGAACTGCCTAAAAACATAAAACAATCAACACAAAATAAAGACTCCACATTAACCACCTTCAAGCAGCTCCAAACTCAAAGACCCGAATCAGAACCCATACACCCGGATCTCCATACATCTCCTCCCCGTCAATTTCTTCATCCCATAACTGACACCCTTTCCTTGACTTCCAATTTCTTCAGTCTCTCTTCCATCCTCTTTCTCTAGAACACCTCAAAAGCCTTCATATGAACTCATCTCCCCAAAAAAAATAAGCCAAGACTTTTATCAATCTCGACTTCTCTCTCAACAATTTTCTTGGTAGGGATTATTCTAGATCCCTTCTACTCCTCAAGACTTCTATAATCAAATCTCACTTCAGAACCGACAGCCAATTTGTTTTCTTTTTCCACCTGATAGTTTAAACTGGTGAGAGCTCGAGAATCCGCCTCCCCAAACTCTTCAAATGATGAATCTATAACCTTCCCCCCTCCTCTTTTATAAACCTTTTAAAATTTTTTTTGTAGGTCCAGCACCAACCAAACCATGTTTTAACCGAGAGAATACCTTGGTTATGTGAACAATGTGAGAATTCCTAGCCCCACAATTTCCTGGGAACCTCTTCAACAGGAGTAACGGAGTCTAACTCTGTTGCCTTCCTTCTTCCTAGGTCCACACCTAACTTTTGTACCACCACCTCCTCAAAGACGTTCGCAGCTTCCACCACACCTAAAGCTTTCTCAACCTCCTCCCTGCTTCCTGAATCTACATGAAAATTACCATTCAGCTCTTCCTTAAATTGTCGTTGAACAGTATCTTTTTTCTCAGCTTGGGTAGGTGAGCAGAAAACTGCGTCCGGACGGACATTTCCTCCATTGTCACTTCCTGAAATGCTTCTTGAGTCAGCCATGACAAACCCTTTCCAGACCTCCTCATTTTCCTCCAGCCCAACCTTCTCTTCTTTACTGTCCTCCTTTAGGCCGCTGGACAAAACTTTATTCTCCTGAGAAATCGAAGATGTAGTGCCAACATCCTCCATCAGAGCCACTCCTTCAGCTTCTGCCACATGTTGCTCGCAGCAAATGGGTGCATTCTTGCCTATGCCAGGGCGCCGAACAATATAGCTTCCTGTGTTCCCCTCCACTATTCTCATCGTGGCTTCCTTATTCCCTTTTTTGAACCTGAAAATCAATGATTCCCAGCAATCTTCCTTTCCCCTTCAAGTTCTAACTGGAGAGGGTTTGCACGATCCCATCCATCTTTTTGGACATTTAAATGAAACCCAACTCCACCTATTACACTTTAGACCTGACACACTGATCCACCTCCTTTCTTTTGAATTTTGAAAGTGGGCCCTAGTTAAACCAGTAATCGGCTCCTCAAAAGAAAGCATCGAAACCTTTCCAACTCCTTCATCAGGTTCCATCCCCTTATGTTTTTGGTTCACCATGTGTCCTTTAGTCTCTCGCCCCCCTCCTGCTACATTAATCTATAAGGCACTTGTGCCACCTTTAATTACTTCTTCAGCCGATTGCGAGTGGTCCCCACTACTCAATACCTCTACCGGATTCTCCCCTGAGTCGGCCCTCTCCACCTCCCCAATGTCTCAAAACTCAAACAGCCCCATCCCATCGACCCCACTATCAAAATTAGCAACATTTATTCCGGAAATGCCCTCACCTTCAACGTCTGGCTTTTCCTCTGTTTGGATCCCAATTGACTTCCTCAACTTCGAACCAGTTGGTGTAAAGGGATTGCACCACTCCTCCCATGTAACCATGTTGTCTAACCATCTACTAGGTTAAGACCCTTCCACCACCACTCTTAAGTCATACGGTTCATCATAATGAAGGAACAAGATGGGCCTCCTTTACCTCAATTAGGATATGCACAAAAAAGAGGTTTTTCCAAGCATTGGTTCTTGAATCAACAAAACAAAAACTACCACAAGCATCTCCAATCGCCCTGAACGTTTGAAAACTCCATGTGTGCAGAGGGATGCCAAAAACATATATCTAGACAAAACTTGAGGGCTCCAAGTTTCTTAGAGCCCCAATTAGAGGGTTCTATCTTCCCAACCTTAACTATGGATAACTTAACTGATCTTATTTGTGATTAAGAACATCAAGAGCTTCATCTTCACAGCTAAATGAAAAAAGAAAAGAACCTGCATTGACTCTCCTCACCTGGAAAGGATCATCTTGTTTCCATTCAGCCAAAGCCCAAGTATACACCTCTTCCACATCTGGTTCAGAATTGACAAATCGCCCAACCAAACTTCTATTGAGCAGCCTGAGCCTATTGAAGGTTCCTTCAGTTGAACTCATGAACACCTCTTTCATAATTCCAGTCTCACAAACACCTTAGATCTCATTAGTATGAACACAACCATCTTTCCCTAAAACATAAAACTTTCTGTGTAGGAATTAAGAATGTAAGACCCTAAGATGGACTTGTATGGGCTTGCTTCAAGGGGCTTGGTACAAACATTGCTTGTAGAATTAGGAATGCAAGATGTGTTACATCACATTAGCTATTTGAAGTAATGCACTTGAGGAAATTAAAAGATTGTGGTTTTACATGCCTTAAAATGTTTTTTATGTTTGATTTTATTTTTAAATTTTCATTTAAACACGCTTTATATGTTATGTTTATTTATTTTAATTTTAGATAATAGGTTTTTTAAAACATTTATTTTAAAACGCAAGTTTATATTTTTTTATTAATATTATGTTTAGTATATTTTTTTGCATTTTTTTTATTTTTTTGGCAATTTTTTTGACTTTTTGGCTTTTTTTTGTATTTTTATGCCTTGCTTCCGAAAGGCGTGTGCCTTGTGTCATGCGTCTCGGGTGCAATTTGCCCTTTGTGCTTTTAAAACACTGCTTGAGATCCTAGACCACACAGTTAAATGGAAAGAATGAGATGGAGAAGTTAAGTATACTTACAAATAGGGGACCAAATGGAAATTTATGTACACAAATACACTAGTGGCTTCTACCTAAAAATACTAAAGGAAATGTAAATGTAGAATAAAGTAGAACACTACCTACACCTGAGACTAGAGGTGTCCATTAGGGCAATGAAATAATTGTGAAGTAGATGAAGGGGTGAAGAGGAAAATGCACATAGAGGTCCAATCATGTGATCTCAAACATCAGGATCAATGTCCCAAGAAAACTTAGACCAGGAAGCAAGGCAAGTTATACTTGACTTGGATAGAGTTGTATTATTATTGTAAGAGATGATGAATTAATAAGTTTCCATAATCATGAGAAATAGATACCATCTCCTCCTTGTCTCAGCTGACGGAGTCATGTTACTGGGAGGATCTTCACTGACTGCGGCATGATTGGCCATACTTGAAGTTGGATCATACTAATGGTTAACTAAATGTTTATCAAGATTACAATATGTTCATTTATATAGTCCACCTCATCACCTTTGCTTCTACCACGAACTCCTCAATACTATCACTATCATGCCCCAAAACAGCATTTTGGAGAGCACATCCTCCTTTAGGACCATGGCCAACACCTTGTACATCATGATCAACCCCTGTAGCAGCTACTAATGCTGATATTTCAGATGGTATGGGTTTCTTCATGTATTGAGGAATCCCTCCTGAGATGCAACTTGTGAGAACACCTCTAAGAGATATGGAAGATCACTACTCTCTAATATCTTGGCATGAATAAGTTTGTACTATGACAAGAACATTGATGTTTTAACATTGTTGCCAGTTGCATCAGCCTTGGAGGAGGCATGAGATGCTACCTACCTCTCCTCCGCCAAGGCTGATGCAACTGAACCCTCGTGTTCTCAACAAGGGTTGATATACATTTATCTTATTCCTAAGATTCTACAGGGTAGAGTAGTACTCTTCAATGCTTCTCTCACCTTGTTGAAGTAGGAGCTGGGAAGTTATCATTGGTAGAGCTGATAAACTTGAGTTGCATTGTTTTGACCCATGTTCAATCTCTTATCATGTTCCAAATATCTTTGGCTGTATCTAGGAACATGAGATTCACACTTATTTTTGTCTCCATATTGTTCCAGATCCACATTATGATCTGGGCATTTTATTGCACCTGTTTGTTATAACCCGGAGTCAATTTTTGGTTTTAGTTCACTAATATACTTTAGTTTCCCTTTTCCTGTAAATTATACTTAAACTGTTTTTCATTATCAGCAAATTCCTTAGCTGACTTCCATTCTGGAAGGAGTGGACAGACAAGGTTTTATATGGGGTGGTTATACTTTGGGTTAAGGAAAGCATTATATGATGTGGGTCTCTTAAGGGAGTGGGGTTTGGTGTTTTTTTATTCTTTTCTTCATGTATCTCTGAATCACCTTGTACATTTTCTTCATATTAATAAAAATTTGTCAAAACGAAAAAAAGAATAGGCACATCTTTAAGACAAAGTTTAGTCTAGAAATAAATTAATAAACAGAAATTTACTGAGTGTGTACACTGATTGTTAGCACATCTAGAGTTAAAGAAATGCACAGAGATGCAGTTGGTTCCAACTTGTGGTCAAAATTGGATCTATGTAAGTTGGATGTGGAGGTTTTTATTGTATTTCATGCATAGCTCATATTTTTCATTTGTATGGTAAAAACTCCACCAAATTTGTAACTTTTGTTCTTTTAGTTAAAAGTTTGCCTTTACTACAAGAAAAATACGACACTTGGGCATGTGCAATGCAGACAGAATTTGGTTTACTTTTGGGCTTTAAGACATGCTTTGGTGAAGGCGATGTGGTAGTAGGCATATTATATATTGAGCATTAGCTTCCATTTTTCTGGTCTTTACAGGTATCAAATTCTTATAAAAGAATTGTTAATTGGACCACATCAAGAATGAGATGGATACAAAATATTTGATGGTTATTCTTTGAAGTAATGCTTGATAACCTTGTTAGCTTTGTCATTGTCTATCTACTCCTTTTTGTTGTATTCTTGATCTGGCCTCTAAAGAAAGAATCCTTTAATTAATCTACAATAACTATTATATTTACTTTCCTTTAATTTGTTGAAATATGGAGGATCTACCTTTTTTTTCTATATTTTGATTTGGTTGATTACTTATGCTGCAGTAAATTTGGAGACATATTTGATGAGGGTTTTTTCATATATGCTTTGAGAAATAATGTGAATGTCATCAAAGAACTTCCAGAAGATGTACTTGCACGGTTTGACAATAACATAAGCAACATTGTGAATTTAAGGGTTAAAGCCTGGTCTAGTCCAACTTACTACATACAGAAAGTCCTGCCAAAACTGTTGCAGATGGGGTATGCATTTTCTTGTTCCTCATGATTGTAATATTAAAGGCTTGATCCTGCTCTCAATTGTACTGCTGATACTCTTGGAAGTCCAGAAGTATTATTCTGAATTTCTGAAAATGATAAAAGTTTCAATTTCTGAAAGAAACTAAATTATTTTTTATAGTAAAATAAAACTTTACTAAAAAAGAAAGAGAATACAATAGGAAGGTAATAAGAAACCTTATACCAACTATATAGGGTTGGCTACATGAATCCAGTTTTGCCTTTCCATTCTGTTTCATGCCATTCTGAAGGAAACTAAATATTACATGCTAATTTAGTTTCTTTTTTCTTTTTCTCCCAAAGTACTAAAAAAATTCTCAAGATTTAATGGTCATGTATTCTATTATAAGATTATTGTTATAGGACAGGGTAGGCACTACAAATTTCAGATCTAGTAGTGGCTTTTGTGGGGTTTAGGAACTTTGGGTGATTAAGGGTAAAGAATAAGGATAGAAAATCAAGTTGACAACATGCTGTCCACTGAAAATGAGTGAGAAGTTAGAATGGTAAGATCTCTTGCTGTGGTAAATAAAAAAGATTAAAGAAATTCCTGGAAACAACCAGAATTCATTAAAACAAACTTTCTTTTTATCAAATAGATCCTCCTTAAATCACAATTATAATTAATTTATTTTTTTGATGGATCAATTATAATTAGTTTATTTTAGAATCAAAATATGAATTCAGATGTCCCTTTATAGACTTCAGTTTGGAATAGGAAACTGACTCTAACTAACTTCTAGTTGCTTTGAAACTAAGATCCAAAGGTAAATTATAGGGAAACTTAAACAAGGGCTTTAATGTGCTAGAAAATAAATAAGTAAACAAATAAGGACTTAACACTTGAAGAACTCCAATAAAACCTTACTAATCTTTACTAAAACTAATTTAATGTGAGGACACCATAAATTACTAAAAATAATAATTAGATATTTTACTATAAGTTGTAATTATGGAACTTATATAAAGAGTAACAATTATAAAAAACTTATATAAATAGTAACCATAAATGGTAATTCCGATGTAATAGTAAATTTTTGAAAATTTAAAACCCTATTCTTAAGACACCTACAATTAGAAATACCTGTAAAAGCATGTATAGTGGCTTAGTACATGCTTATAAAGGAGGCCCCTATAAAAGATCAGGGGCGGTAGTTCTCAATGTGCTGAAAACTTCTTGCCCATATAATGCAGGTCAGGTGGACACAGGAAGCCCATTTCAGGGGCCCAACTTAAAAGAGCAAGTTTTAAAAAGGCACGTGACCAAGGGCGTGCCTTCGATGGATTGTAATTACCATTTTATCTTCTTCTTCTTCGAGTTCAATAGACCAAGCAATGGGAGGTTTGACTTTTGTGCATTCTGGAGGATCGAAACAGTGGATTGCAACGTCAAGACTAAAGAAACTGTCCCTAGAAAAGCGCAACTCAAGATGTATTAGATGAAGTGATCTAGAGGAGAGTAGGAAGGATCTCTCTGAGAATGAAGACTTTAGCAATTCTGAATCGGATGATTCTGTGAGCCTGGGTAGCATCGATCTAGGCAGATCGAAGGACATCACTGAGGAAGATAACTTTGAAACGGAAGTATTATTTCATGAGGATGAGGGAGCTGATTGCCAAAGTGTTGAGGGAAGTCCGAAGTTTACGATGGAACGACAGAAGGCAACTATGGCTAGGACGCAGCACGCAGGTTCTATCTCTACTCGCAAGGGAGATTAGCCCTTTAGCCTAGGAAGAACAAGTTTTTGGTTTGGAAAGGAAAGACTTTAACGGAATGGTCTGTAATGTACTGCTTGAAGCCAGACAAAAGTAGAAGACTAACTCAGCTGCTGAAGTCGACAAGTTGCTGATTTCCTCCAAAAAATCTCCTATGCAGATCAAACAACAGGAAAAAAGATTAGGCTTGCCCCCCTTTGCTGGTCCCTCTCCCTCAGAAGAAGCCCACCTGGTCCCCAACAATGTAGGTATTTTTGTCCATTCGGTTTTAGTTACTAATGTTATTCCTGCGGTTGAAATAAATACTCCAGCATCCCAAGAGGAATTATTAGGCGGGGAAGAAGGCAGAGAGCTTAGCACTGGTGAAGGTGAGAGGAGTGAGGTAGAGTTGGAGGTTAAGAAAAAAGCAGGAGGAAGAATTAGAAAGAATATGGGAGCCGATCTGGGTATTACTGGAGGGGTATAAAGCAGAGGAGGGATTAGATGGCAGGGAACATGAAGCAAGTCCTCAGAACAAGGAGTGTTACAGAAGTTCTAGGTTGGCGAGGAGGTGGGTGAAGTCAGTGGGTCGGCTAAAAAGACAGGGGAATATGCAAAGGAAAAAGAAAAAGAGATCAGAGGTGGAGAGACTAAACTCAGATATAGAGGGTGATATCGAGTTTAGTGGAAGGGGAGAGAGAAGGAAGGGTTCTTTGTGAGCTGGAACTAGGTTAGAAAGGGGTGTCTGAAAGGAGCCTTACAATGAAAATCATTAGATGGAATGTGAGAGGGTTAGGGAGTGCAAGAAAAGGAAGGACAATTAAAGATTTGCTGAGACAAGAGAAACCTGATATAGTCATGTTTCAGGAAACCAAGTTGGCAGAATTGGATAGAAGATGGGTCAGAAGTGTGTTGAAATCAAGAGGAACCTGCTGGACTTTAGCTCCCTCTTGGGGAGCCTTGGGAGGGATAGTTACCCTATGGAGGGAGGAGGATGTTGTAGAATTAGTTGAAGAACTTATAGGAGATTCTCTGTGTCTTTAAAATTCAGAAATGTGAAGGACGGATTCACTTGGGTGTTAACTAATGTCTACGGGCCAAATAGTTATAGAGAAAGGAAGGAAATGTGGGAGGAGATGTATGGAATAGAAGGCTCGTGGGATGGCCTGTTGTGCTGGGGGGGATTTCAATGTAATCTGGTTCTGTAATGAATCAAATAATCCCCAAAGAATGATTACTACAAGCATGAGAAATTTCAATGACTTAATTAACACTTGTGGTCTAAAGGAATTACCCCTTCGACAATCTAATTTTACTTGGTCTAATTTCCAAGAAAACCCTCTTTGCTCCAGACTTGATAGGTTCCTTTTTAATGTAGAGTGGGAGGATAATTGGAGGAATTTGGTGGCTAGAACTCTTCCTAGAGTTACTTCTGATCACTGCCCTATCCCATTAGGTCAAGAAACTCTAGGCTTTGGACCACGACTTTAGATTTGAGAATATGTGACTGACTCATCCGGAATTTGAACGATTGGTTGGTGAGTGGTGGAATGAAGAATTGAGAGGGGTAAAGTGGAAAGGTGTAAGGTTCCACAAAAAGTTGAAGAGATTGAGAGCCAAGATTAAAGAATGGAATCGGGAGCATTTTGGAAGGATGGAGGAACAAAAGAATAATTTGTTGTCTCATGATCTAGACTCCAAAGAATCATAATGAATCATGAATGAGCAAGAAAGGAATTTGAGAAGAAGTTTAAAAAAGGAATTGGAATAAGTCCTTCTTAGAGAGGAGATTTCTTGGAGGCAAAAGTCAAGACACAAATGGATCAAAGAAGGGGATGGCAACACCAAATTTTTCTATGCGTTGGCTAATGGGAGAAGAAGAAAAAACTGCATGGCCAAATTAGAAGTGGATGGAGAAGAAGTCACAAACCAAGATGAGATAGCCTAAGTGTTGGTGGATCATTTCAAATCAATTGTAGGGAAGCCATTGAACAATAGACTAAGTCTGGAAGGGTTAGATTGGCCCAGGCTGTGTTTAAGGAATTTGAGGACAATAATAAAGTAGGCCCTGGAGTTAATGCTACTTTCATAGCCCTAATCCCTAAGAAGAAAGAAGCAAAAAATCCTGAAGATTTTAGGCCGATCAGCTTGGTGACTAGCATTTACAAAATCCTGGCTAAAGTGTTATCTTTGAGGATTAAAGTAGTGCTGCCCTCCATCATTAGTCAAGCCCAAGGAGCATCGTGCAGGGGAGACAAATAATGAATCAGATCCTAATAGCTAATGAGTGTGTTGAGGATTTGAGAAAGTCCGGAAATCAAGGTTTTGTTTGTAAGTTGGATTTAGAAAAGGCCTATGATTTTGTGGATTGGAGCTTTTTATTAGAGGTCCTAGGGTGTTGTGGATTTGGAGTTAGATGGTGTAATTGGATAAAAGGCTGCATAAGTTCTTGCCATTTTTCGGTCTTGGCTAATGGAGTAGTCAAGGATTTTTTCCCAGCTTTTAGAGGTCTAAGGAAAGGTGACCCCTTTCCCCTTTCCTCTTCACCCTAGTTGCAAATGTTTTTAGCAGTTTGATCTCTAAGGCAGACATGGAAGGAGTTGTGAGAGGTTGGAAGATAGGAAGGAACGGAATCAAGGTGACCCAGTTACAGTTTGCTGATGACCTAATAATCTTTTGTGAAGGGGGTGATAGGAGAATAACAACAAACCTCAAATCTCTGAACAAGCACTTTGAGAGAGTATCCAATCTAAAAATAAACATGGATAATAGTTTCGTGGTGGGTGTGAATTTGGATGAGAGGGCTATTGAGTCTGTGGTTGAGTGTCTAGGTTGTCCCATTTCCTCCTGGCCCTTACAATATTTAGGTATACCTCTAGGAGCCAACCCTAAGGAGAGCACCTTTTGGGCTCTGGTTCTGGAAAAGTTTAAGAAAAGGTTAGCTTCGTGGAAAAGGAACTATAATTCTTTAGGGGGTAAAGTAACATTACTGAAAGCTTCCCTAGCAAATCTGCCGATATATTACTTCTCTGTGTTCAGGATTCTTGTTAGGGAGGCCAAAAAGTTGGAGGGATTTATGAGAAATTTTCTTTGGGAGCCAGGGGAGGAAAAAAAGGATCATATAATAAATTCTGGAATAGTGTGTAGGAGGAAAGTGGAGGATGGGCTGGGACTAGGGAATTTAGTTTTGAATAATAAAGCTCTCTTAGGAATGTGGTTGTGGAGGTGGCCCTTAGAACGGGAGAGACTACGGCATGAGGTGATAGATA